GTAGCAGATGGAGTGGTTATCTGAGGACAAGAAGTTGACAACAATACAGAACATCAAACTGGTATGAGGAGACATGGTAAACTGGAAGATGTGTTCAACATGACCCCAACCGCAAAATCATGTAACCCTTTGAATACAAGAGGCAGAATCCTGGTACAGGATAACATCTTGAACTGTGACATGTTAATATAATTGTTAAATATAGGCTTCTCATCAAAGTTAATTAGCTTTAGTGGAACCATTTTGGAGCTGTAGTAACTTTTGAGTAGGGTATGCAAATCCCACACTGGGTAAAACTGGGTTACTGAGCTAATGTGGGCTGAGTTGGTCCTGCTCCAGCACACCTGTGAGAGATATCAGACCCTGGTGGGGAGTGTTCTTTGACAACTCCAAAAGGAGTGTATTGCCTGGGTTCGGCCAGAGGGCTGAGCCTCTTAAGCCTGTACTGGTGTGGTCGAACACCTGGATGTTGCAGAACAAAAAAGCCGTGTCAGTGTAAAGGCCCAGCCCAGGGCTCAGGGGACACAATGGGGAAGGAACACAGTGGCAGTACCGGAGTAGCATTCTGTCTACACAGAAAATGGGCATCATTTTGGTCTATTGCTATTAAACCAGCTAAGTGGGAATAGCCATAAATTGGTTGTACTTCCCACTAACTCCTGATTGGTTTTAAGGCTTTTGGAACTGGTAATATCAAAACATTATAGTTACTTCATTAAGTTCTGTAGTATGTTGTAGTAGTATTGTATCCCATGCTGAGCAGTTGGAAAGGTTACTGACTCAGGTGAAAGGGGTAATATTACAGCTATTACTCAGTATTAAGCCGTCGTAGCCCTCTAGTGTAATGCACTAAACCTACCTTTTATTATTTCTTTTTAACTACTGTACAGAGAACTCCACTGCCTGGGCCCAGATGATTCTGATTTCTCTTTATTCACTCTCCTAATAGCCCTTGTGTTGTACCACATTTGCTTATACTTACTTGAACAACCTCCAGGGACTCATTTTCTGGGGTAAATTTTAATGTGGTCCATGGGAAATTAGACACACTCCTATTCACAAAGATGCTGTATAACTAACTCCCTCTGCACTGCACCACTATGAAATTACCTTTCTATGTCTGCATATATCTACACATATAAGTTGAACTTAACCTTAGAAACTCTTGGGCCATTTTTCTATAGACCTATAGGAGTTACCTGAATAAAACTATATTTAGGCGTCAAACATATGAAAATGTTTAGCCTTAAAGCATCTTTGTCTGTTTCCTCATATCTAAAGACTGGACAATGATAGTTGCCTACTTCATGGCATTGTGGGGAAGCTTCCTTCACTGTTTGTTGAACACTTTTGTGGTCATCTGTTAGAAGTACAAAATGATGTGATGGTGATGGTTCCTATTGCTTGTTGAGATATTGTCCTTAACGTCCTTTTTAAATTTCTCTATCCTTAGTTTTCATATCTCTTCAGTAAATAATGGGATGGATGCATTACACACTATGCACATCGCTTTTGATCTTGGGACATCAGCTGTTCTTCTTTGAGTAGATGTAGCCATACATTCCACTGAAGTATATGTGTGCCTAGCACACCAGAGCTGGAGAAATTTGCCTAGCAGTACCTGCAGAGGGGTGGTGCTCAGACCGTGTGGCCATAGCCCCTCCCTGGCTATGTGAAGCAGTGCTGGCCCCACTCTCCCTCCCTTCTTACCACCCAGGGCTGGAATCGGAGCTCTGAGATCTCAACTTCACAACCTGTCAACTAGTTTAGGTTTTTTCTCTTGTTGTATATAGTTAATGGTACACTTTGTGTTAGGGTAGTGTTAGTTGTTGTTTCCCTCAGTGATGCCCTCATTGGAGTTTAAATGTTGTTTGTGTGGGAGAGCGATCCCCAACAGAGATCCTCACACATAGTTCTTGCTCTGTCTCAGCAAGGCCCACGTCAGCGTGCATTGCACGATCTGTAGATGGTTTAAGAAACAGACTCAAGTGGCTTGAGACTGTCGCCTGAAGCAGCACCTGATCGAACAGGCTATGTGGCCTGCTTCAGTACCGAGGCCCTCATCGGGTCAGAGATCATCCTCAGACTCTGAGAGCACTGCCACTTTACGTTCCAGAGCAGGCACCTCTCCAAAGAAACAGGAGCTATTTCCCGTCAACTGCGCCGAGCAAAAGGTTGCATAAGACCAATTGAGACTGCTCCACATATTGGGGTGATTGTTCCTGAGAGAGGTGGAAGTGTGGACTGACATGGAGCTGATGCGTGCTCGTGGGATGGCGCAGGTACTTCTAACCCTTCCCTGGTATCTAGTAGGGAGGTTGGAAACTGTATACTGTTGACTCTGGTTCCGGCCTCTGGGCATATGTTGAGTCCAGCGATGACGAGGAAGATACTGGTACCGTCTGTTTCCATGTGGCAGCATAACAGGCAGCTACAGACCTCTTCTGCCTTTTGGTCCCGACCTCTTCTTTGGTTCACGACTTTGCCTGTGCTGTGTCAACTATAGCCCCTTTGTTTGAATGAGCTGCTGAACCCTTGGGTCTGTCATGTCAGCATCGCACCCCAATGTTGGGGTGGAAGATGGCAGCCTTCACAGGGTCCACTCTGTTCAGTGAGGATTCACAATGAATGCCGTCAACTCGGCGACCGAACATCGCTCAGTGATCTTCCAATCATGAGAGCAGCAACTCAACAACCCCAATGTTCCTGGCACCAGGATTGGTATGGGGGGCCTCAAGGAATCTGCTCAGCACCACTACAGTCAGCACGCAGATGCTTCTGTGGCAACATTCACTGCTCTCAACCTCGGTGCAGTAAGACACCCAGATACCACTGTTCACTTCGGGACCGATACTGCTTCTGGCACCAGCATGTTTAGTCCTAATGGTATTACTTCCATTGGTAGCGCCACTTTCTGCCTCATTCTGGGCGATGGATGAGTCAGACCACCCACTCGCTCTCTTTGGTCTTGCTCCGCTGTTATCTCTGCAATCCTGAGGCTCCTCTGAGTTGGGGTCATCATCCTCCCACTCACCGTCACCTGATCAGCATTGAGGGCTGCTGATGGACTGTTAGGGGTACCAGGATTGGCACATGTCTCATAGTCAGGATGGAGGTCCCTGGCTCGGCACCTAATGGCCACCAATGCTTTATCTATGTCAGTGGCCTCCATGGAATCTGTGGGATGCTCCTCGATAGTGTAGGTCCTGCTCTTTGTCTCACTCAAAGGCAAGATCACTGGCCCGGTCTGCATTGGTGACTGTCAATCTATCGCAGACCCAGGCACTGGCAGTCCTCCTTCCGATGGAGCCTCCAGAGTTGTCCTGTCCAGGTCTGTCGGCCCTGGAACAGGATCTGGCTTTGGCTCAGTTGAGGGCCTCGTCTTCATTTCTGGACAATGTTGTGCTGCCTGGCTCATCCTCCCCTTCAGTACTGGAGGATGCTAAGGCATACAGAGACCTTTTGCGGCATGTAGCTGCTTCCCTTGGTATCTAAGCAGAGTTCTTGAAAGAGAACACCCACAAATTGGTGGACATTCCTCAGTGACATTTCCATATTGGACATTTGCAAGGCTGCTGCATGATCATCAACATATATGTTCATGAACCATTACACCATAACCACATCTTCCAGGGCAGATGCAGGCTTTGGTAGAGGAGTCCTGTAGTCTCTGTTTACATAGACTCTGAGCCTCACCTCCTGGGCTGGGGGATATTGCTTGTGAGTCACATAAGTGAAAAACATGGCTGCATCCACTCAAAGAAGAAGAAACGGATACTTACCGTAACTGTGGTTCTTTGAAATGTGATGCAGGTGTGTCTTCTGCAACCCGCCCTCCATCCCCTCCGTATCAGAGTCTCATGTCCAGGCATTCAGTGTGAAGGAACTGAGGGAGGACCGGGGCGGCACCGCCTCATTAGCCAGGGGAGGGGCTATGGCCAAGAGGCACGAGCGTTGCCCCTCTACAGGTACTGCTAAGCAAATATCTCCAGCTCCAGTGCACTGGGCACACACCCCCCTAAGTGGAGTACATGTCTGCATAACATCTTGAAGAACCACAGTTACAATCAGTAACCATTTCTTGCATTTGTGCATGATGCAAAGCAGCAGATTATATGAGATGAATGTCAATGGTTGCTGCGTATTAGGGGAACAAGCCCTTAATGGTTTTTTTTAAAAGTTAGATGAGTGAAAACATACCATCCAGCTGAAAAGTGACAGCAGCATCTCTGGGTAAGATCATAAAAATGAAACAAAGAATGAAAACATGGCACCAGTTTGCTTGTAACTTTAAAGACAGCACTTTCTAAAAGTCTACTGACAGATAATTTCAGTGAGGGTCTTCAGTGAAAAATCACATTTCAGTGTCAATTAACAAAAGAGATTTTTCTCACCAGTGTCACTTAGTGTTTCAAATTCTTCTGTCGGTATATATTACTTTTATTTTTATACACACTATAATATTTTAATTTGGTGATTATTGTTTATCTTGCTTATAACGAGCCAGGGATTACATAAAAGGTAGAATGGTATCTAATGTTATACATTAATATGTAACATAAAATCACATATTAACAAATACGCTTCTTTATGTTAGAAATAGCAACTTAGATTACTAACACTAAAATGGATTTGCTTTTCACTATTATTGCTGTTTGTTTATCATCAGTTTAATTTTCAGGGTCTCCGTTCTTAATATTTGGGTTGCAAATGGAATTTTGGGGTGAGCTATTAATGGAAGATCAAGTGGAAGGACTTAAAGAATTTAAAGGAAAATAAATGGCAGTCAAGACTAGTGTCGGCATTGCCTTTCTTATGGTATGAAGCCCAGGACCTTGTAAGACTGAAAAATGTTTCATGTTGGTCTTTAAAACAAATAAAATGTTGCCATCCATGTGATTATTTGACAAGATGGAAGCACTTCAAAGGCTAAATTAATTTTTCCCCTTTGCCTTTTGCAGTGAATAATCAATGGACTGTTTGGTTGGTTTTTTTTCCAGATAACCTTTTTCATGCTACTGTCTGCAGTGTGTGTAATGTTGAACTTGGCTGGTTCTATTCTCTCATGTCAGAATGCTCAGCTGGTAAACTCCCTGGAAGGCTGTCAGTTGGTGAGTAATGAAAAACAAATATTTTAATAAGGGCAAAGGCTTTTCTTTTTCGGTAATCATAAAATTATCAGTTTAATTCCTGTCATTGCATGTGTCTGTTATTTGATGCTGCCTTTAAGTCTAAAAACATAGAATCATAGAATATCAGGGTTGGAAGGGACCTCAGGAGGTCATCTAGTCCAACCCCATGCTCAAAGCAGGACCAGATTATTATTAAACCATGATTATTTTGTTGGAAGAAACTTTAGAGTAAAAGTGCTATAGTCTTTATAAGATATTGTTTCCTCAAAACATAAGTTGTTACATTAGAAATGTGTGCTTATACTGCAGTAATATAAGGGAGACACCATACACAATGGGTGAAATCTTGGTCTCAGTATAGTCAAAACTGTTGACTTCAGCAGGACCAAACTTGCATCCAATCTCTCCTTCTCTAGCCAATGGTGTTTCATGGGAATGCTGTTAATTATGTTTCAGTATCTGTGCAATAATATTTTAATTACCAACTTTACTACTGCAATCTGATTTTAAAAAAGCTTCCAATGTAAATACATTACCCATGGATCTAGTCTGATAACATAGAGAATCATAAAAATATTAACATATCAAGGCTGTATACTGTGACTTAATAAACTCATATGGTGTGCATGTATACATTAGATTACTGTATGCTAACCCTTCAATGGGGAAAAAAGTATAGATCAACTGTAAGAATATTTGTGACAACACTAATAAGGTATTAAAAAATATATGGAGCTAAATTAATCCCAGAAGTAAACCCACTGATTTAAAGAATTTTAAGAATTTAAAGAAGATGGGGGGAAATAACACAACTTTTGTCATGAATGTGATGGTTCTTGGTGTATCCAGGACTATGTCAGATTATTACCCCGGTCTCTAGAGAGAAGGGGTCTTCCTTGTCGTAGCTGTGTGTCAGCTCCCTAATTCCACCAGCATTTTAGTCACTCAAACACTCTCCTCTGGGCTGTGCCACCACTAACTTCACCTTGCAGGTTAACAATAGGTACACCCCAATCCCCGAGTCCCTGTGGATTGTTCCCCCGTTATGTTTGCCCTGACACTGGCTACTCACAGAAGTTCTAGATCCTTTGCATCCAAAAGTGAAGTGTACCTCAATTTACCAGTTTTACCATAAAACACTGCTCCTCACAGGTCATGTTTTCTAGACTTAATCCTTTTTGTTGCTCTTCTCTTGACTTTCTCCAATTTGTCCACATCTTTCCTGAAATGTGGTGCCCAGAACTGGACACAATACTCCAGTTGAGGCCTAATCAGCACAGAGTAGAACGGGAGAATTACTTCTCGTGTCTTGCTTACAACACTCCTGCTATTACATCCCAGAATGATGTTTGCTTTTTTTGCAACATTGTTGCACTGTTCACTCATATTTAGCTTGTGATCCACTGTGACCACCAGATCCATTTCTGCAGTACTCCTTCCTAGGCAGTCATTTCCCATTTTGTATGTGCGCAACTGATTGTTCCTTCCTAAGTGGAGTACTTTGCATTTGTCCTTGTTGAATTCCATCCTATTTACTTCAGACTATTTCTCAAATTTGTCCAGATCATTTTTAATTTTAAACCTATCCTGCAAAGCACTTGCAACTCCTCCCAGCTTGGTATCATCCACAAACCTTATAAGTGTACTCTCTATGCCATTATTAGAGCCCTGTGTGGATACAAATGTATACCCGCGGATGCAGGTGTCTGCAGATATAAATTGGTGTCTGTGGAACCGCTGGGCTCTCCCGGGAACCACAGCTACAAAAGGAACAGAATGTGGGGCCGCCACTCCCAGGAGCCAGCACCCCGCATTGGCAGCTCCTCCGGCATGGCTATACCGTCCTAGCACCGCCCCCAGTCCCGCCCCACTCCTTTCCATGCGGCTATCTGCGTCTCCTGTCTGGGGGCTTGAACACTAGAGCACGACCAGGGATAGCTGTCGGTGAGCCTGTAGCAAAATCCTTTTAAAGACAATCATGTTGATGACTCCTGTGTTAGTCACCTCAGGGAGGTGTCAAGCATTCCAATAAGCTGCCTTGGTGTGTCCTTGACATCTCTAAGTAGTTACAGTTACATACCCAAAATGTAAGTCACATTATTCAAAATGGTGGTTACAATGTCAGGTGAAGGTCATAATTTGATACGGACTTGTACGCACATATACTATTTTTGGAAGCAAGGGTGAAGTGCAAGGTGGAGGAAAATATTGGAGAGGAGCAACATGGACTTAGGAAAGGAAGGAGTACTATGGATGCAGTATTTGCAATGAGACAGAAGTCTGAAAGATTGATACACGGAAAGAGTAATTGCTTTGTGGATTTATTGATCCTGAGAAAGCATATGACTTGGTTCAACAGGTGTTGGTGTTTGGAGTATTCAGATGAATGAGAGGGTTAAGCATGTAAGTCTTCAGGATCAGGGACTAAAGTGTTGTCTAAGGTAATTGGCAAGGTTTTAAACTACTGTAATGGTGACCTGTAGGTCATTATTTTGGAAATGACAGTTCACTGTAAAGAGTATCTTCTGTCTAGAGAGACTTCTATGTAGACAGCTATGTATTAACCAGTATGTGGTAGTCCATATTTTCAAGTAACAGAATCTTGGCACATCGCTAGAGTAGGACAGTATTTAAGAAAAGGACAGAATGTGGACAACGAAAGGAAAAATAAATAATTTATACCTCTTTTGGTCAGATAAGCTACTCTTCATCTGTTGCCGGTTAACCACCTCTTGAGGTTGCAGTGAAACTTTCTTAAGGGCCCCTGGAGTAGTTAGAAATGTTGTACTGTTTACTATATATAAAATACTGCACAATATAAAATTGTGTTTAAAACTGCTAAATTATTGATGTTTTTCAATTGACCACAGTAATAAATTCATGAACACACACAATAACTGAGGGGTTTGGTAATGCTTCCACCTGAATGACTTGTATGACTTCAAACTTTGTCAGTAGTAACAAACTGTTCTTATAATTTGACAGCTGTTCAGTGACCTATATGAACAGAATTAATGGTATAAGTCCATTCTCTGGTGGAGAGTCTTACTATGAAAACAATGCAGTTGGCACAAAATGTTCACAGTCTTTGCCAAGAGGATTGAATGGGAATGGAAACTGAACAGCTGTCTTACCAAAAAAGGTGGATTCTTGTATGCAATGCTATGTTAAATGTTAATACTTAGCGGGAACGAGTATGGTAGGTTGAAAAAATGAAAAATTAATCATTAACTTTTTTCCCCTTATGGTAAAGTTTAGACAGGTAATGGGTTATCATCATCACTGTGAGCAGATGTTGCACGTAAAAAAAAGTTCTTTGATACGGAGCTAACATTCTGCATATGCCATGAAGAATGTGTGTACCAAAACTTTGAAGTCCTGTTTTCAAAAGTGGCTTAAGCACTTGAAAATTTTACTATCTGGGGGAGGTGGAAAAAAAGATAAACATAGCTATTTTCAGTATTTACTTAAAAAAATTATCTGTGGAAAAAAATAACTTTGTGTTGCTTTTACCCGCTTAACCCTAAACCTGGAAGCCCTTGACATAAGGAATTGCATTTTAGGTCTCTAGCTGACATTTTAGGAATATTATTCCCCTGAAAAAATTATTTCTCTTGTGCTGTAAGGTCTGTTTGAGTTTAGCTTTTCAGTTTTTCTGTATTAATCATTTTAATCTAAAGCTGTTTCTATTTCTGCATTTTCTATTTTCCGTTTATCTGTTTTCCTTTTATTAACTAATGAATTCATTTCCCATTACTTTTACCCCCAAATCCCCAAACTAAGTAAAAGAGTTAGTTTTAAATGAATAGTGTTCACTAGTGCCTTAACTACAATCAGAGGTGCATTTCTTCAACACCTTCCAAAAGGCTGAGCGAATCTTTTTATGTTCTAGCTGTTTAAACCAGACGACAAAACCTTAAATTATTTGCCTCTTTTTGCATTTTAATAAAATGTTCCGTTTTCAGCTGTGGACTTGCAAATATTTTTTAAATGAATTATCAATAAAAAAGACGACTGTCAGAAAATATTAATAGTTTTACAGCTCTAGGGTTGCTTCACCTGAAATATCAACTAAAGTTCAGAGGCACAAAAATATGATACAAATGAAAGCTTGAGAGAAAAACATTATTAGTATCCTTGTAAAGAGTTGGTTTGACCCCATCTGCAGAAGAAAAATCTACCACAGGGGTTTAGGGGAGGAAATCCCCATGAGACTTCCCCCTTGCACTTAATCCCTTTGGAGCACAAACTCTGGGCCCTGCAGATGCGTCACTATCGATAGCTCCATTGGATTCTCTCTGTGCCTAGCGGCCTGTAGAACCATAGGAGATACGTCTCTCCTTAAGTATCTCCTAGGGAGATATTATTTTCCTGGGAATCTGCTTAGCCCTAGCCTGCTACCCATGCTTACAGCATGACCCAAGCACCCACAAAGCACTTCCAAGGTGACTGAATGAGGCTGTGCAGCTGTCAAAATACCCTCTTCCCCACCCCTCTCCCCCAGTTGATTCAGCATATAGGTATACAGGTATATGTTTGTTTACATTTATATATACACATATATATATTGTGTATAAAAATTTCCACAGAAAACAAATTAACTTAGAGTTCACATTGCTTACATATATATATTTCTTCACAACAGCACCAATACTCGCAATCAAGCGAATGATCAATTAAGGTATCTTGCCTGGAAGTTGGCCATTGTTTTGGATATGCGTTAGCTTTCTCAACTGCACAGAGACACTGTTGCCCTTCCTAATACACACACACATTCAATAATATGATCATCAATTTATGAATCAAAGAAATGAAAATCACACTACAAGATACAATATTAATTCTGACCTTCCTGTTACATTATTGAATCATTTAATGAGAATTATAATCTTAAAATTACAGAGTCTTATCTCCTCTCCCTACTCCAGTGTAAACTGCATGCATAGATGAGGGTTATCAGGGAGACAGTCTTAACATCT